GTCTGATATTAAAATAGTCATTCTGGCTTTATTTTTATTGGTACTTGCATAGTATATATTTTTTCCATCTTTTAACTTTTAAGCTTTATATTTAAAGTGGGTTTCCTTTAGTCAGCACATAGTTAGATATTAATTTTTAATCAATCTTTAAATCTGTGTTTAGATCATTCACATTTAATTTAATTATTGATATGGTTGGATTAAAATCTATTACCTTGTTATTTTCTCTTTGCCCCATCTCTTTTTTGTTTCTTCTTCTTTTCCTGACTTTGAATTAAATATTTTTATGATTCCTTCATATCTCCATTATTAGCTTATTATTTATACTTTAAAAAAATATTTTAGTAGTTACCCTAGAGCTTATAATTTACATCTTTAACTTATCACAGTCTACCTTCAAATATTACACTGCTTCATGTGCATGTAAAAACCTTACAACTGAATACTTACAATTCCTCCCTCACAATTTTTGTGCTATTTTTGTCACACATTCCTTTATATGTGCTATAAACCCACAATAATTTGCCACTATTTCTACTTTAGACAGTTAATTATCTTTAGAACAAATAAAAATAAGAAAAAATGTCTCATATATCACTTAATCATTTTGTAAGATCTTCATTTTGTTGTGTAGATACCAATTTCTTTCTGATGTCAGTCCTTTTGCCTGAAAAACTTCCTTTAACATTTCTTATAGTGCAGGTCTGCTGGTAATGAATAATCTTCGTTTTGTTTACCTTTAAAAAAATCTTTATTTCTCCTTCATATTTGAAATGGAGATATAGAACCTAATTTCCCATCTCCTGGGTGTGGGCCAGACATAGTAACTTGCTACTAACAAGTAGAATCAGATGGAAATGACAATGTGTGACTGGAGAGACTAGTCCTAAAAGGCCCTGTGGCTTCTCTCTCACTGCTTTTCTCCACAGTGGGTGACAGAACTACCACGCAAAGTCACTCCTGAATTTCTCACCCACAGAAACTTGGTGATAAGAAATATTTGTTGCTTTAAGCCACTAAATTTCAGGGTAATTTGTTACACAGCAGTATATAATATTGGAGTTCTCTGGGTTTCCTGGATCTGTGGTTTGATGCTTTCACTATATTTGGAAATTTCTCAGTCATCATCTTTTGAAATGTTTCTTCTGCCCCAATCTTTCTCTATTCTCCTTTAGAGGTTCCAATTATATGTATATTAGACTACATTATATTGTTCTACAGTGGTTGGATGCTCTATTTTCAGTTTTAAAAACTTGCAAAATCAGCCTCATCATGCCCCCGCTTAAGTCACCAATCCAAGCTGGGCAGCACCCCCTTCTCTGAGGGGACTCCATGTTCCTCTAAGCTCCTGAATTTTAATAATTCCAAACTCTTCCCTTTGTTCCGGCAGCCCTAGAGGGGTTAGCTGCTTCCTGAATTTGCTAACACTGTGATAGATTATTGTTTTCTTGTTATCTTTTCAGTTAATCAACAACTTATCATAAGTAATAATTTATTTAAAATTTTTCTCTGTTCAAGTAACAGGTATGTTTTCTAAACCTTGAATGAATCACAAATCAGTATGGGAAGTCCCAATAAACCAATCCTCAAAGCTGGGATTTTGAAACTGGTTTATTGTGTCCTTGGACTTGATTGTAGTACTGAGCTCCTTGCTAATAGAAAGTGGAATGTTGTGATCCGTTGCACGACATGGCAACACAATTAGTCAGTTTTACTCCAACTTCTTTGATTGTGGAAACTTCTGTTGGAAGAAGCATCTTACAGAACTGGTATTCAGCAGAGCAAACTTTGGGAAATGCTGGCTTCACCATACTTCTCTATCCAATGATCCTCCCTAAACACATCAATGCATGTTCAAGTTCCTGCTCCTGTTTTATCTTAATTAAGAATTTGTACTCATCATTTGAGCCTCAAAATCAATGTTTTACATCAAGTGTTTAGAGTTTTTCCTGACACTGAATCCAAACACCTCCCCAAAGGAACTAATAGGTTGTATTGCTTTATACATATCTCTAATATGATCATTGTCACATTATATCATAGATGTTTGTTTACATATACGCCTCACCCATGAGAACTGGAGCTTTTTGAGAAATATCCTTGCCTGATTCATCTTTGTACCTTCAACATGGTCAGAGTGTCTGGCATATAGTAGGTACAATTAATTTGTATGGATATCATTCGTGAGAAGGTTATGGAGACTAGCTGTATTTATTCATTAAGAAAAATTTGAGCACTTTGAATTTGCTGTTCCAGAGGAGAATAAACGGACATGCTTCATTGTTTGAAATGAATTGTTTGTAGCATTCTTGCTACATGTTACAATTTCCCCTCAAGTGTAGGAACTTCTTTTTTTTTTTTCCATTTTACAAATCTGTTCAACTTAGGCAAATAAATTCAGCTCCACAAGCATATACTGAGCAATTACTCTGTGCCAGAAACTATGCTAAGCCTTAAGTATACAAACATGATACATATAAATTCTCATAGCTCAGTGGGGAGACAGATTCGTAGTCAAGTAAATTTCAGTATCAATGTGATAAGTACAATAATGGAAGCATACATGAGTTGTAGGAGTTGTTTAGCAGAGAAGACAAGGTCTTTATGACAAGGAGTATGAGGAAAAACTTCCCAGAGATTTCTGAACTGGAGTTTTTGAAGGAGGAATAGGAGTTTTCCAATCAGATAGGAGGCAGGGGCACAAATAAAAACATGGAGGCAAAAAAAATAGTAAAGCTTTGAAGAAGTAAAAGCAGTTTTGAGAGCATTAAGCACCAGATGGTTTGTGGCAGAAAATGGGGCTGGAAATTTAGGCAAAGGCCAGATCATGAGAAGAGCCTTAGATGCCATTCTAAGGAACTTGGGCTTATCCATCAGGTGATGGGGAGCCAGAGAAGGCAAATTAAACTTTTCCTTTTCTACATTAGATAAAAGGTGTTATTATACCATCCTTTTCTACATTAGATAAAAGGTGTATTATACCATCTATTGAGCACGTATATCTCAGGCACTTTGCTGGGCACTGGTTTATTTAATAGGGTTGTACCTTGAAAGCTCTTCATAAAGGACATTTTTGTTGATAAGGTAGATAGCCTGGATTTCATTTATCCTCCCAAGTGATTCTTAGGATGAACTTTCAGGACAGTTTTTCTAATCCTCTTGCTAATGCCAAGACCAACAGTTTGAATTATTTCCACCAGGCAGAAGATTTTTCAGCAACCCACTTTATAAACTGTAATTAGTTTTCTATAAAGGGTAAATTATTTCCTTTACTCTCTAAATTTCAGAGCTTTCATCATATTTTTGTTACACATTATTTTCTATATGTTTCTATTTAAAGTTAGCCCAGGGAAATCCACATCTTTTCAGCCTACAAACTCTTCTATTTAAATAAGTTCCAAAATGAAGGTAATAGGCATCAGGAAGGAGTAAGAAAAGTCCCTGGAAAGAAGAAATAATGCACAAAAGAGTTAAATTGCAAGTATTAGCTAAGTAAGCAATACTATAAGTGGAAGTCTGCATATTGAAACAGAATCTCATAGAGAATTTATGTAGAGATCAAATGGCCATCAATTAATTCTATATTAGATGTTCAAGGGAACAAGTAAAACTTGAAATTTCAAAATCAGTGATGGCAAAGGAAAGAATGAGCAGTACCTTATTAAAGATGGTATTCTTATAATATACAAAGCAAGTTCCCAAATGTGTCTCATACCACTGGCCTGAATATTTGAAAAAAAAAAACAAAAACAAACCTCACACCTAGATGAAAACAAATAATCTGAAACTAGTTGCTAATATGTTACAAAACAAAAACTTTTAGCTACCCCATTAGAATTATTCTCTAACAAGAGAACCAGAGGCAAAGAAAATTGCTAACGTTGCAAAGAATCATGAATTTAGGTTAAATATGGGGATGAGTGGCTTGAAGGAGAAGGTTGCTCAATTTGGGATTAGATATTGTGAAATCTTTCTATGGACATCTCTAGACATAGGCTGGATTATAAACTGTATATCCTGCTGTGAACAAGGGAGCAGACAAGATTACTCAAGATCCTGTCGCCTGGTGATCTTTGGAAATGAAAGCCTAATTAACAGGCTCCCTAGAGGCAGGTCAAAGGCGTTCTTTTATCCCTACTGCCCTTAATCCCAGTTCCTTGATGCCTTATTCCACCCCCTTTCATTCAGCGTACTCTAAAACTGAATACACATTGTGCAAGTTTCCACCTCTGCTTCTTTTACTGTAAGAGCATTAGACTACTGGAATTAAGAATTTTAAATCCCTCATCTCTAAACTGATGATATTTATTTTTTTCAAGTGTTTTGGAATAAAGTTTAACACTAAAAACTTTCTAAACTTTTCAATTGCACAACAAAATTTTTAATGTTAGACTCTGTAATACTACAAAGTCTTTCAAATATCTTTTACCAAAGTTATCTGATAAGTAATACTTTGTCAAAGTTCAATTTGGATTGATCTCTAATTTCAAAGATTGTGTTGCATGCGATTGCTTACTTAAATTCCTGTTAGAATCATATTGACAGTGTTTCCCTTCTTTGAAACAGTTTTAGGATGAGCGTCTCTACCGTAGTACACAGGGAATAGCAACTGATTTACGAGTTTTAAAACCTGACAGAAGTATTTTGCAGATTTAAAGTAATTAATATTCCCTTGATGGTAAATGAGGCATAAAAGTTTTTTCTTGTTTTATGTCCTCTTCCTCGCATGAAAAATTAGTTATGATAACTAATTTATGTTAAATTAGCGATGTTAACTGACTAATGAGGGTTGAAGAAGCTAACCCTCATTAGATAACGACTCCAATCGTTATCTGAAATACTGTAGCTAGCCTCACGCAGGTTCGCAGTCATCCGCTCAGGGTCCTCTGCGGAACCCTGTAGCTGCACCTGATTGGTGCACGTGCTTGTCAGTCACATAGAGGGGGCGGGTGCTCAAAGCCCCGCTCTAAAAGAGACGCAGTGCTTTTACATCATCGCGCAGCGACCAAAGCAGGGGAGGGTGGGGTGGGTTGTGAGGGCTCTTCGGTGCTGGCGGGGGCGGCCTACGAAAGTGTCATGGCTACTGCCGCTGAGCTTAGTCGCCCGACCATCGGTGACAGGAGCCTAGAGCGGAGCTGCAGCCCCAGCCTCTCACAAGAGGTGGTCTGCGAAGTCTTTCGCTCCTTGCATACCCTGGCTGGACAAGTGAGTGGTGGTCTGTGGGAGTAGGGGTCTGGGAACCGTCTAGCCCCTCCCCCCTTTTTTCCTCGAGCGGAGGCAGGGGGCAGCGGAGGCCTGCCGGGTGTGGGACCCGGCGCGAGTAGCCGAGGCCGGGGGAGGAGCCCGGGCCCAGCCGTCTGCGGTCTGAGTGAGGATGGCCGCGCGGGTTAGTTCACGGCCGGTTGCAGGCTAGATTTCCTTGCACCTCTTCCCCCCAAGAGTGAGTGAGGCTAGTGTAAGTGAAAACCCGGCTCGGAGATGAACAGGCTTGGAGAGAATGGATGCGGAGAAGCTTCTCTGAGGGTTTGGGAGGCGTCTGGCGCTCAGGCTCCTTTTACTTCCAGTTCATTCATTATAGAAATTGATAGGTTAGAACGGCCTGCGATTTCTGGAAAAGCTCTCTCTCCGCCTTTTTTGGGTGATTTCCTCTTATGAGTCATTTGCTTTTGTTTATTTTTTCCTTCTGGCCGTTGCTTGCATCTCTTCCCCTGTAAAACGGGGAGGAAGAGAAAAGGAATTAATCTAAACTACTCATAGCGTAAAGTTGGCTGAGTTATCCATGGTCGATACTGCTTGTATCACAACTGTTGTTTAATAATTTAGCTATTAACTAGTTTAACTGGCTGATAAATAGCTTTTGTAGAAATGTCATAATAAAATCGGGTTTAAATAAAGGTACTCCTTACACTCAAGTCACTATTTAGTTTCATGATGTAAAGTGCAAAGCAAATTTTAAATGAGAAACAACTTGAAAATGTTTGTCTGCTTTTAAAAAACAGATTTTTTTAATCTCAGGCGGAATTAGGCATTTATGTTGAAGATAATGGTAACTTACTTTATGAAAATAGAGCGTTTGATTTGTGAAAATTATTTTTAAAAGCCTTGGGTGAATGGAGAATCAGTCTCTTAAAACGTTATTTAAATATTTTTTAAAATCCTAATATTTGTTCTAACTTAAAAAGAGCATTACTCTAAGTTAAACATTCAGTTTAGTTTAATGGAACGATTATTAATAGAGTCGGCTAAAAGTTTTAAACTCACTTGTTTGTCAAGGACTTAAACTTTTTTTTTTAAGACTTGGGGACATATTATTTCAGTCTCAAGACTCAAGACCTGTAAATGGTTTAAAAGTTTGAGAACTTTCTATGGCGTGGACATTGGAACTTTAAGGTTTTTTTTAAATATCCTAATAATCAAGATGAAAAAAGTTTATACTCATCTATAGTTTACGCAAGTTTTTTCCCCCCACTGATGAGATACTTTTTAAAAATAACATTAAGAAATAATTTAAACATTTCTTTTTGAAATAGTTTGTATACTGAATTTTTAAAACTCATTTAAAATTTTTAAACATTCAGATATTCTGTAGGTAAAAGTAGAGATGTGATTAAAATTTACTTATGTCACCTGTCAAAAATGTTTAGAGTAAATATTTGGTGAGTTTTCATGACAGAGTGAAAAGACCATTTATACAAGTGTCAAAAAATAAGATCATCTCATCAATTAAATGCTAGCCAACTTGGTAATACTCTCTGTATTTCGAGATGTATTGTTTAAAGAATTAAAGCCCGAGTACTATACTTATAAAATTGCCCTTGGTGGAAATCACTATTTCCTTTCAAAACAAGTTTAAGGAATTTTTTAAAATGTATGTTGTAAAATGCCTACTTCATTCTGTATAGTATCGTGTTATTAGCTCTCCTCAATAGGAAACATAAAGTTGAATCTTTAAAAAGTATTTTTTGTCTCAGATTTCCAATTTTGTAATTTTAACTTTATTGCTTACCTCTGGTTGGTCCATTTTACCAAGCTGAAGAAATATTTATTGTTAGCTTGGATTTTCATATTAATTTAATAAAGTTTTTTACTGAAATACATATTTTAAATAGGCCATATTAATGGCAGACTAATACATTTTTGAGTGAATGGTTTACAAGTTCTACAGTGTAAAAATAAATAGAATTCATATTACTAACAGGGAATTTGTTGAATAATAGTTGGATGTATTGGGATAGTTTTAAAGTTAATTTGTGACATTATTATGTGATTTTCTTAAAAGACCAAATATCTTTAACTGCACTTGAGAGCTTACATAATTCTGCTGAATTGAAATGAGAATATGATCCAAACATTAAATTTAATTTCTATAAGTTATTATTTTCTCTAGAAAATTTGATGCTTTGCTTTGGTTGAGGATTTGCCTGCATTATCCCCAAGCTGTATTCATAACTTTGTTATAATAGACTCTAGATCCCTTGAGAACTGTAACAGTATAGTAATAGTTTACTTCCATGCATAAGTTGTTGTCTAAGGAAATCTTTATAGGCATTAAATAAAGTAAATTAAGATTAATGTGGTTATCTTAATATAAAACCTTAGTTAAAATAATGTAAACCAGTTTTTGCCAGTGCAGCCTACACAAAACTTATTTGTTTACACTTGTCTAATATGGACTTTAAATATTTCTGGTCAAAGGGTGGTAAACTTCTGTCATATAGCGTTCATTCATATAGTGCCTTTTTTGGGAACTTTGGATCTTTTCGGTTCTATGTACATTGGTTTATCTTTTTGTTTTATTACAATCACAATTTATAAGATCTGTATTTGAACTAATGTAACACTTGTCTTTATTTTGTAGAAAACATGACTAATTTTAAATAAATGATTTTTGAAAAAATAATAGTTAACTTGATTCTGCGATGTAGTATATCCTTATAAACACGTGTGCCTAGAAAAGTTTACGGTGATTCACTTTTATTCACTCGAAAGACTAGAGATGGAGGCTTTCCCTCTAAAATCTTCACTCATTTTGATATTAATTTTATATTCAGGTTCTTGGTAGTTTCTGTATATACTATTATTGTAATAGGTCATGGATAGCCAATTTATAAGAAATTTTCATACAATGAGCCCTCATACTTTACTAGAAGATACTGTTTAGCAGTAAGTCTGGCCTTTCCATCCAGTCTCTGGCCATTTATTTCACTATTGTGGAAAAGTATTTGTTTTTCAATTTCAGATTTCCGCAGCTAAATAATAGTTTAATTTTTATTTGAAGTAGATAAACACATTGCTGTGTATCACTAGACTTTATAATATGTATGAATATAAATGTATGAATTGATTTTAAAATTGGTTAAAATTGAAAACAATAAAAATGTGATTCAGAAGACATCAGAGGAATGATATGTTTCAGTTATGTATTTATGTGCATATTTAACAAAAAGAAATGTGTATATCAGAACTTTTATAAAGGTACCTGCCCCCTCTGTTTAATTCTCTGAGCTAGAAGCAGTAGGATTCTGAGTAGGACAAGACTATTTTGACCCCTATCCAAAGTTTTTTAGATAATGAATTATCGAAAAAGATGGTCCCATTACACAGACCCAAGAACAGAATTAGAGTGAGGTGTCATTCTATTTTTTTATGAAAATTTCACATTTTTTGGCTTTTTAAAGTGGTAACTAGGTGTAGAGCATTTTTATGTCTGATTGAAAACTTTGAGCTAAATGGTGTGTTATTCTATAGAAATCTTATTTTTGGACAATCCCATTTGTACAGCTTAATCTTGTAATTTTTTGTGATGTTGCTGGTTTGCCCCTTTGAAGCTTAACATCAGAGATGATGTGGTGAAAATTACAATCGATTGGAACAAGCTCCAGAGCCTCTCGGCATTCCAGCCTGCTTTGCTCTTTAGTGCACTTGAACAACACGTTTTATATTTACAGGTAAATTTCGTGTTAAAAACGTTAACTCGATATTGAGACTAGAAATTAATTGTAGTTAAATTGTAAGCTGTAGTATTTGTTAGTTCTATCTTAACACTGTATTAATAGTGGTATTAATAAAAGGTTACTTCGGCCAGATTGGATCCAAATCTGTTAATTTACATAGTGATCAGGACAATTACAGGAATATAGCCCAATAGGCTGATGTGGATGTGAAGATTGAAAATGCAGTTCTATTCAATTCTAGACTTGCACTGAAAATTCAATACAGTTGCATCTATGGTAGGTTATAATTAAGCAATAAGACACGGCAGGTGTGTGTCATGCTATGATAATGATTCCATGCCTTGGGTGAGTTTGGAGGCTCATGGAGTGCTTTCAGTGGTTCAAGAAGTGGCATTATCCCAGCTTGACACATCCTGGAGTGTCTATTGCAATTAAACAGTTTCAGCATAGTTTTTAAAAAGAAAGTAATTTCTGTGACATTAATGTCTCATATTAGTAAGTAGCCAGTCACTATTTTATCGTCTTTTTCTTGAGTTTGAAATAATTCATCCTTTATATTAAGTCAACACTGAATTGTTAATTTATAATAGTATTGTTATATTTTTTAGTATTTCAGTTCAATAACAGTATTATGACCTTGCTAGTTTCCAATTGAACATCTTTGCAGTTACAATTGATGCAAGTTTGCAGTTTATCTCTAATCAAAGTATAAAATATGAAGTGTCGAAAAGTTTACTTCTATTAAGATGTTACAAGGATTCAGAAGAGTATTTGGTATAGCAAATAATGGAAGCAAAATTGTCGGTATGAAAAAATAATTGGAACACTGACAGGTGTTGGTATGTTTTGATTAATGGAGTAGACATTTAATTTTCAGTCCTCTATTCAGTGACTTTATGGGAAATTTTAACTCTGTTTCATGTTAAAAGTAATAGTTAACCCTAGTTTTAAAGGGCAGAAGCAATGAGCTATAGGACTCAATTGAGGCCTAATTGTGGATGGGTCTGGGCGGGGGGAATGGGTAGTATAATTTACATTATACAACAGGGTTTTTTCCCCCTCTAGTATGGTGATAGGCATCTACCTCTTTTCAGCTATGGCTCTTGTTCGTTTTCTTTTTAAAAATTTAATTTCATGACCCAAGAAGATATCTTGCCATGTCAGGAGAAGCTTGAGTGTTCACTCAGCATAACACCTATATATTTCATGTCTATGCTCTCTCATTTACTTCGGCCAACTGCAGTTTCAAGTGGAGAATCTCCAGTGATATAGTGATAATACAGGGCTTTGCTGAGTGAGAGCACTGGCTCTCGTGTTAAGGAGGAAAAATACTAAGCCTTAGTATTCTGAGGAGGCATTTGAATGACATGTTAATTAAGTGGCATTGGTGCCAGAGGCTGAGGCTTTGATTTGGCACAAAATAAAAGATGAGTGACAGAATGATTCCCTCAAAGAAAATTTTAAATTTCCTCAGGTTTTCTTTTTCTTTCCTTTTTTTTTTTTTAAACAGATTTATAGCAAATGATATTGGTCACAATAGCAGAGGACAGCACAAACACTTACATGTGCTCAGATCTATGTATGATGTGCCAACCTTTTAAATTTAGTTAATTGATATTGAATATTGCCTTTACTTAGCAGAAATTTATATAAATATGGTAAATATGTGATTAATTTTGATCAGTTTGAACCTCAGCAGATGGAATTGTGTTCTCAGCCTTTTTTAGCAAAACTTCAGCCTCTGATTAAAGAGGAGAATACAACTGTTGTTGAAGAAATAGGAAAAACAGAAACAGGGAACAAGAATGAAGTAAATGCCAAATTTCCCATTGGAGACCTACAGGAGGAAGAAAAGCACAAAGATTGTGATTTGGGAGATGTGAAAAAGACACAGATCCATTTTGATCCAGAAGTAGTTCAAATAAAGGCTGGAAAAGCAGAAGTAAGAAGTTGGGTTTTGGGGGGTGGGTGGAGTATTTTTTTTAATCTTACTGTGTTTGAATTAAGACACACATGCTTATTGTTTGTAGATTGACAGACGAATATCTGCATTTATTGAAAGAAAGCAAGCTGAAATCAATGAAAACAACGTCAGGGAATTTTGCAATGTTATTGATTGTAATCAAGGTAACTACCTAGAAGAAGTTAATTTTTGTAGGATTTTAATGATCTTTCATTTGTTTTTTAAAATGAATAACATTAAGAACACAGTTTTTAATTATTTCACAGGTTTATCTGGAAACTAAGACAGCAGTATTTCCTTCTGTTTAATAATACAAAACGGTTTTCATCTTGGTTATCCAAAAATCAAATAAATGCTAACGTAAAAAGGCAAATGTTTACCACAGGTGTAAAGATTGTTTTAAAGTTCCTTCAGGAAATGAAGAAAAGTGTGGGTGGTAGGGTGTCTCAGTCTCACTAGTAAGAAGGTCTAAGCTATATAAATTTCAAGTCTCTAAAGGTATTTATGAAATTATGATATTAATACATGAAGTGAACTTAGTAAAGTTAATACTCCTCAAGAGGGAGCAGTTTTCTCACTACTCCTTAGCTGTTTGAAATGTTTTATGTCACGATAAAACCAATTTGTCAACAAGACTATGGTGTCTTATGCTTTTTTCCTTTCTCTCATAGTGCATACATTTGCTGTTTTTCATCAGATTCTCCTTTCCTCTCCACATGATTTTATAGTATATTTACAGATCTGCAGGTATGCTGCAGAATACAAAATTGCAAAGCACTAGCATAGATCACAGGCAGGCATCATAGTAATAATCAGAACAAGTAGTTCTTAGAAAAAATTATGGAGAAGAGTTCCTAATTGGAATGAACATTTTTCTTGTTGCCTCTAATATCTTGTGGCTGATTATTATGAACACAATTTTCAGATGAACCTAGAATTGACTCGTATCACACTGGTACACTGATTCTCTTAATAATGAAATAATACAGGCTCAAGGTGGGTCCTAAATGCAGCCTTTTCTACTATTAACATTATACATACGTATCTCTAGATTTGGTATATTTTACTGTTAGCTTTTCAGAACAGGTTCAGCAGTGGCAAAATCTCAGGTACTACAATCCAACTGCAAGCTACCCATGAGAAAGCGTTTGTTGAAGGAGCAAGCACATGTATCACTAATGTTATTCCTCTGTTCTCCCTGCTAACTCTATTATTATAAACCACCAGGGGATAGAAATTGACAAGAATTGAAATGCTCAGCAGGATTCCTTAGCCCATTCAATCCCTTGCTGGCTCCAAACAGTGTTGGGAAGAATTGCTGTGGAGAGTGACTAGCACTTACACATTCACTATCTTCACACCATGCTGAATTTTTCTCTAATGGGTCAGTTAATCTATATATTTGGAATTTAGTTCTGGAATGGATGATAGCTTCTTTTTTTAACCCGTAGCCCCATGAAATGGTAGAAAGAGAATGGAGAGGTGATGGCCATTTAAACATATTTTCAGGTGTTTCAAAAAGAAAAGAAAAAGAAAATGACTCTAGTATCTATATATAAAAGATAAGTGGGTTTGGAATTTTATTCACAGTTTGATGTGTCAGCAGAACTATCTTAAGGAAACTTAGACTGAAAAAATTCAGATGTATTGTAACGTGTTAGTGTGTTCCTTTTAATACCTCTCAATTGACCGAATTATAAACAATGGGTTTTTTAAAAAAATCAAATTCCCTAGGGAAAAAAAGAATTTTCCTTCATTATCTTTTACCATCCATTTTTATTACAAAATAATTAAGGGGAGTCTTAGGAAATTTACTGCAATGCATGGTTTTACTTAATGTCATTTTAAAGATTATTTTATAATATTTGAATTGTTTATATATTATGTTAATATCATTCCAACTTTCTCCCTTGGTTTATGATTTATTTGTTGATATATAACTTGAAAGAAACTATACTTTTCAGCTTAGAAAAAATTTGGAACGAAATTTCACATGGTATCATTTTTAAAATTGCGTTTTTTGAAAGGGGCAGTCTGGAAAGAGATAGATAGCTTTTGTGATCAGGGATTTTTTTTAGATGAGCACTGGAAATCTAGGAAAAGTATAAAAGTATGTGTTGTAGGTTTCAAGGTCTTTTTTGTGTGGCGTTCTGAAATAAAAATGTGTTAAAGGCATAATACTTTATATTACATGTTCACTAATATGATCAGTAATATCAAAAATGCTGTATTTTTTAAAAAGATATTTTAGTAAAAATACTGAGTTTTGTTTATTTCTATGTCTCTTTAGCTTAGAAATTTTAACTCTCTATAATATATAAATTATTTTCTCCAAAGGCCCAGATGGTTTTTAGGGATATTGGTATTCATTAAAAATTAAATTATGCCACCAAATGTTGAGGACTTTTCTATATATAAATCTGGAAATAGGTAACATTAGATATAAGTTTTAGAGAGTAAAGATCACTAAATTTTATCCTGTGCATGATAGTAATTTAATTACTGTTATTTAAAATGATATTCTCTGATTATGAGTAATATGTTAATATGCATTACTGAAGGGTTATCAAAATATCATACATTTGAAGTTAAGAATATATTTAAACTTATACTCATCTGAATTCTCCTTAGAAAATAGTTGTGCGAGAACTGATGCCATTTTTACTCCTTACCCTGGGTTTAAAAGTCATGTAAAAGGTAAGTATCCATTATATAATATCTTCATCACTGTCAGAAACTTATTCTAGATTATAAGTAAAATGGAATAGAAATCACTTTCCTATCTAAATTTTATTTATTTTAAAACAAATCAAAAACTCTTGCCTTTCTTTGTACTTGGGTTTTTGGTTATGAAAAGAACATCAAATACTGTTAAGGAGAGAGACTTTCTGATTTTTGAAATGTAAATTTAATAGGCTCAAAAGTTTCTTAATTTAGTTTCTAGAGTTGTGAATACGTATGGACCACAGACTAGACCTGAAGGAATTCAAGGGTCAGGTCATAAACCTAACAGCATGCTCCGCGATTGTGGTAATCAGGCTGTAGAAGAACGACTACAAAACATTGAGGCTCACTTGCGATCGCAGACAGGTAAGCAGAGTGCTGGGCAGTGTCCTGTAATGTATCTTTGCAAGTGGTTAAAGAAATTCCGATTCACTTAGCAGGTTTTCATTGAGCAGCTGTCATGTACGAAAAACATTATTCTGATTGGTACAAAAATGAAGAAAGCATAGTCCCTGCTTTCAAGGAATTTACAGTTCATGTGTTTACGCCCTTCTTCCTCCTCTTAGACTTCTCAACAATATCCTGACTCTCTCAGTTTATTAAAGTCATAGCTGAAAACTAATGTAGTTTTTTTCCTGCCATTAATTTCATAACCATGACCATCTCTCACTCGTATCCCCCACTGTGCTGGTAAAAAGTATTAATAAGTGTAACCCTGGCTCTTTAAGATCTTCCAGTGAGGATAAGCATATAAATAAATAAGTGCCATTGGGGACTAACATTTATTAAGTGACTGACTAAATCCTAAGTGCCAGTCACTCTGAAAGTATTATACATATATCAACTCACTATTTAATAGCACCCTTGTGAGATGTTGGTGCTGTAATCATTGTCAGATAAAGGAACGGAAGTTTTCAGAGCAGCATGCCCAAGGTAGTAAGTGGCAACTAGAAATCAAACTTAGATCTTAACTGGCTGCAAAGCCTCAGTCTCCCTCCTGATTTAGTAACCAGATCCTGTTGATTCTATCTTCTAAATATCTGCAAAAAGCACAGAGGCATAAAATATGGTTCAGGGAATTTCTGAGTCCAGTCTATCTGGTGTATGTGTGGATGAAGGGAGAAGATGATAAGAGAACGAGTAAATCTTTGAGGATAGTAAGAGATTAGCATTAAAATTAACTCCCTTTCTCAGAACTAGATGCATGTTCAATACAAACTGTATAACAGGATTGACTGGTTTATTAAATCTAATAGTGTCAAGTAGTTAATTTTGAAAAGTATCTGTTGAATGCCTACTATACACCAAGCACTGTTTTAGACAGGAGGGACACTGAGATGTAGTCACAGTTTCTGGCATCAAGGACTTTATAATCTGTTTGGGAGAAAGATTAATAGCAAAGGGGGATGTTAAAGGGGCTGTGAGGGAAGGGTATGGTGGGGCACAAGGAGCCTCCATGTGAAGAGATTCAGGCAGTGCTTTGTTGACCCAGTGAAGCTTGAAATGGTTCTTGAAAGGTAGGGAGGTGAGGCAGAGGATGTTCTAGGTAAAGGGAGCAGCAAGAGCTAAGTCAGGTGAGTAAGTTATTCATTTTACTTTATTCGAAAGCAAGAACAACCAAGATCCTAAACTTTAAAAATTCTCCAAAAAATCCCCCCATATTTCTAGAGTTTTTATATTTAACAAGTTGATACTTTTGATATGAAAATTTATCCATATTCTTTAATTGCATAACGATTGTTTAATCATGTATTTGTTCATTCAGTAAATATTGAGCACCTGTTCAGTCTGTGCACTGATGCTTCCTAGGTTTGTGTAGTGTACAACCTGCACAGCCATATCCAATGAACAAAACATAAAATTCTGCCCTCTAAGAGCTTACATTAGAGTGGAGAAACAGGCAATAAATAAGCAAAATACACAGAATGTCAGGGGGTAGTAATGGTTTGGAGAAAAATAAGGGAAAAAAGATAGGGAGGGAGTGCTAGGTAGGGGGAAGTGGTAGTACTGGTATTTCTTAAACTGTGGTCAGAGAAGGCCTTACCGATATGGTAACTTTTGAGCCAAGACCTGAAGTTGGCAAGTGCAAGCCTTGTGAATACAGAGGTAGAGAGAATCACAAGTGCTAAAGTTGTAAGAGTACTTGGCCTAGTTGAATAACAGAAAAATGGCTGAAATGGTATGAATGTGGGGAGAATATCCAAATTGTATAGGATCTTGTAGACTATTGTAAAGGCTTTGGTTTTTAATCTGAGTGAAATGTGAAGGTGTTGGAAGGTTTTGAGCAGAGAACTAACACTATCTGAATTGCATTTCAAAAGGGTTGCTGGCAGCTGTGTTGCGAACAGACTTTATGTGTGCAAGGCAGAAACAAGAAGACCAGTTTGGAGGTTGTGATAATCCAGGGAGAGGTGATGGTGGTCTAGACCAGAATGTTTACATTGGAGGTGCTAAGAAATGGAAGGATTTGGGATATAATCATAATCTTGAAATTTGAGTAACCTTAATTTTACCATACCCCTGCCTAGAAAGTTTGTTAGTTAAGAATTATGGTATTTTAAAGGAACCTGCGTACTGTTCTCCATAGTGGCTGTATCAGTTTACATTCCCACCAACAGTGCAAGAGGGTTACCTTTTCTCCACACCCTCTCCAGCATTTATTGTTTGTAGATTTTTTGGTGATGGCCATTCTGACCGGTGTGAGGTGATACCTCATTGCAGTTTTGATTTGCATTTCTCTAAAGATTAGTGATGTTGAGCATCCTTTCTACCATATGACCCAGCAATCCCACTACTGGGCATAAACCCTGAGAAAACCATAATTCAAAAAGAGACATGTACCACAATGTTCATGGCAGCACTATTTACAATAGCCAGGACATGGAAGCAACCTAAGTGTTCATCGACAGATGAATGGATAAAGAAAATGTGGCACATATATACAATGGAATATTAGCCATAAAAAGAAATGAAATTGAGTTATTTGTAGTGAGGTAGATGGACCTAGAGTCTGTCATACAGAGTGAAGTAAGTCAGAAAGAGAAATACAAATACCGTATGCTAACACATATATACGGAATCTAAAAAAAAAATGGTTCTGATGAATCTAGGGGCAGGACAGGAATAAAGACGCAGACATAGAGAATGGACTTGAGGACACGGGGAGGGGGAAGGGTAAGCTGGGACGAAGTGAGAGAGTGGCATGGACTTATATACACTACCAAATGTGAAATAGATAGCTAGTGGGAAGCAGCCACAGAGCACAGGGAGATCAGCTCGGTACTTTGTGTCCACCTGGAGGGGTGGGATAGGGAGGGTGGGAGGGAGACTCAAGAGGGAGGAGTTATGGGGATATATGTATACGTATAGCTGATTCATTTTGTTATACAGCAGGAACTAACACAACATTTTAAAGCAGTTATACTCCAATAAAGATGTTAAAAAAAATTATGGTAAAGCTCCTTTTAAATGGTCTTCTGGGTTAAAGGAGAAAATATGGCATGTAAGGAGAAGTATAAATTGAAGAAAATGATATGACATATTACAACCACTGAATTGAATTGTCAGTTGTCACTATGCATTTTCCTCCTCCTAAACAACTGTCAGAGTCTGTCAGAGATGCAAGTTGTTCTATACAGGAACTATTCAATGTCTTGTAAAATGAATTTAACATAAAACAAAATGCCTAGCAACATAGGAAGCATAAATGGGGCTTGGGGAGAAGTGTAGTATAATAATATATCCCATAGAGTATATTATGAAAATGTTTGCTAAAGATTTCATTCTGTCTTACTCTTGTTAACTTATTTTCTTAAGTTTAAATAATTCCCATTCTTTTGCATAAGTGTCTTTGAATGGTATTTTAAGAATAAAAATTGTAAGAAGAAAGAATTATCCATAGTATCCTCAGAATTTTTTTAAATGTATTTAGGTGGTCCGGTGCCAAGAGACATTTATCAGAGAATTAAAAAACTTGAGGACAGAATCCTTGAATTGGAAGGCATTTCTCCTGAATATTTTCAATCTGTAGTAAGTATAAGTGTCTGTAAGAAATAAATGTTATTTTAGGATTCATTATCACATAATTCACTCATTGATCTGCTGTGTGCAAAACACTGTTTTAATAGTTCAATGATGAATGAACGTCGTTCTGAGTAAAGAATTACCTCGTTCTTTAAAGATTGTGATTTTGAATATTGTATTATAGACTCAATTTTTTTAAAGGGTTACTTTTATGGTACATTACCCAAATTCTCAAACTTAAGCCATTTTTGTGGCATAATAAATCAGCCTGAATAGTGGTGAGCCCTGTCACTCTGAACTTGCTATCTTGTAAAACAAAGACTCCCTCTGGAACCTTATTCTCTGTTGTCCCTTCTGTCTCTCTAATCACTCACTCTCCACAGACTCCTTCCCTCAGCTCATACACGTTTACATTTCTCCCCCATACGAAACAAACACACACCTCAATCTGCCACCCTACCTTTTTCTTTACCCTAACCACTAGACTTTCTGAAAGACTAGTCTATATTTGTTTAATTTCTCAATTCTAGCATTTATTTATTCATTCATTCTTATCCCTTTTACCAAGGACAGTAGAAAACAGTTTGTGCTGATAAGCATCTTCTTTGTCATATCAGCATGTTTCAGACAAGCCATTCTGAGCTCCTTGTGTTAATTTCCTCAGTCTTCTGGGGTGATTGTACATAACAACTGCCTTTTCTGGGGCTTAGTGTTTGTTTGTTTTAAAGCAGTGCCATATTAGAAAGAACTAAAGTAAAAGTGAACAAAATTTACTAAATTTTTAATAAAATTTACTGAAACTCCTGTTTCTGAAATATTATGTAAGATAGCTCAGTTAGCATGGATCATTATAAGTCACTGGTGAAAGTGCACTTAGAATTATTTTAGGAATAACAGCAATCTTTCCAGTTTCATATTGGTATTAGAGTAAGGTACAAAGGTAGGAATATTTCCAGATGAAGAAGGCAAGTTGAATAACCAAAGTGAGTAGTGAATCTTAAAGCTCAATAATTTAGAGACGTTTAGTGATTTACTTCCCTCAAATATAAAATGATGTCTATTAAAGTACTGAGGGCTGAAGCAAGGATTAAATGAAATAATACCAGTCAAGCACCTAGCCTGCTGTCTAGCACGTTAAAACCTCAGTAAATATTAGCATTTATTTAATTTCAGAAACCATCTATGAAGTAGCTGTATAAACATGGATAAGTCATACAATTACAATATATCTTTAATTTTAGAAGACTTGTTGGTTGTTTTACATAATTAAAAAGGTCTTTCCACTTTTAGAATTATTCATAGTATCTTCCTAGAAAACTTCATAGAGATTGTATGCCTTTTCCTACAACAATATACCATAAGTTTTTCCCATTCAAGCTGCCTTCATTAAGAAATCCCTAGGCAGGTTATTTTTTCTCGTTCAATTTCATACCTTGTTAATATAATTCTTGTTAACAGTAGGACTGATCTTATAAGAGAGTATCGTAGTATTAGATGCCTCAAGTGAGATCTTGCCCCATCATTTATCTTTTCTCTCTGATTCTGATTTTAAAAGCTTAACATACACCTATTACTAAATTTAGTTAACAAAAGAACAAGCCCTTTAAATCATAATCTTATTTTGGGGGATCCATTTTACACAGGATAGAATGTTTAGAATGTTTGATTAAAGAGGTAGAAGTAGATTGTAGAGGACCTTAAATGCTGTCCCCAGAAGTTTAAAGTTTAAATGCTATTGAAATCATTTGAGCAGGGAAGGGACTTGTGCAAGTGATATCTAGAAGATTTATCTATTACTGTTCTGGGAAATATATGAAAAGGGAGAGACTGAAAATAAGGAGACAGTATTATACTAGTTTAGATGTGAACTGGGATCCTGAAACAAGGACATGAGAGTGAGAATAGAAAGGATTAGTGCCATAGACAGTAGGAAAGAAAGGTTGGCAAATATTGATAATTGATTGAATATGGAAAGAGACATGGAGCAAGAATGAGTCCAGTTTCTGGTTGGAAAAATGATACCATCATTGGTAGAAATAAAATCTGGAGAGAGAGATTTTTGGGTGAAATGTGAACTTAGAGTCATAGCAGGCTATGCAGATAGAAATATCGGGTAAGATTTTCAAAATGTAGGACTTACACTTGAGATAGTTGGGAGAGACAGTGTAGAGGTGAGAACATAGAATTGGTAAGAACACTGAGACTTTCAGAGGCCTAAGGTCTGAAACTAACTTCAGGGGCAGGAAGTGTGATAAATGTAAACAGGATTGGCATCGATGTGTTGGGTTGTCATATCTGTAACAAAACTAGTGCTTTAAAAGAATAGTTCCAAATATATTAAACAATCTATATTTGATTAGAAGGATCACTTCTGGATTAGTATCGGAAATGACATACACAAATTAGTACTGAGCAACAAGCACAAAACACTGACAATGGTTTAAACATTCAGATTGACTCTGTCCTTAAGGCCTATGAATATGTATGGTACAGACCCAAAGGCAAAGGTTTCATACCCACCCTTCCATAACAGATGAATGTGCCATCTCTAGGAGCTGCGCTTCTCGCTCAGAATGGAGCCAGCTCTAGGATTGTCCTTGCGCGTGAGAGGAGATGAACACACACCCTGCAGACGACATAGCACATTATTCACCGCTCTTACCTTCCTCTTGCTGGGAGTACACGCATGGCAATTGCATAGTTTTACGTATCTATTCCTCAGAAGTCTACGGAAAAGACTAGATATGTAGCTTCTAAAGTTAGAAAGTAAGGGAAGATTGAGCCTATTAAATTTCCTAAGGATTGAACTTTTGTTAGAAATTGAATTTATGAAAAGTTTTTAACTGAAATGTGTCTAATCCAGGTTCACATGTAGATGAATTCTAAACACAGTTGGATAGAGATTATCTTGGGTAACCTTGAAGCACAGCATATGAAAAGAGAAACATTAACAGAGAAAAGATATAAATTGTATTTGGTTCCTAAAAAAAACCTAGATTATGTAAAGTTCTTTTCATTTATGAAACAGACATAAAATTCAAAAAAAAGTTAATGTATATAAAGCACGAATTACAACAAAGTTAGTATTTGTTGCACGTTTTAAGATCTTTACCCATCACATTCAACATGGAAAAATTTGAATGTGTTAATGTTTTAAAAATTTTAAGGGCATTGCTTAACAGACCATTTAAAAGATACAATTTTATGAGTATTTCCAGAGAATTACTTACTGATTTTAAATTATGACCCTTGAAAACAGTAAGTGTAATGTTCTTCACAGGTATATTTCCACAGCACTTTGTTCATTTTATAGCACTTATGACTTATATGTTTACACATCTGTTTTTCACACTATGTTTTCAGCCTCTGAAGGGCAGGAACTGTGTCTTGTTCATCTTTGAACACAGAGTGTAGTAGGCATGGAATAAATGTGCGAATGAATGGATAGGACCTGGCTGATAGTTAATTATTGGACTTTTAAAGTATGTTAACTTTGTTCGAAAGCACTGACTAGGTGGAATCTTAACTCTAGTCTGTAATGGTTAAGTCCCGGTTCTAAAGGGAAGCGTGGGAAGAAGGAGCCCTGAAGGCCACGTCAACTTCATGCATGCAGGCCGTTTACACGTGAAGGTCATGGTGGGCCTGTAGCATGAGGTGAACAAGTGGGTCTGGCTGGAAAATTAAATTGCAAACACATTTTGGAGGGCCTTGAAGGTCACATTAACCTGTTTGTAATTCCAGTGTCATTGGGGCACAGTTAAGTCTTTGCAAAAGAAACCTAGAATGGGTTTCTGTCTGGTGACATTGTGAAGTTGTGAGTTGGAGAGAGTTCGGAGTCAAAGAAAGTAGTTTAGGAAACATGTCATTGTCCATACCAGGGAGAAATGAAGGTCTGAATCAGGGCAGTGGGACTAGAAGGGAAGAAACATTTAAGGCACTCCATCTGTAACCCTTCGCAATTGGTTACCCTTTAAAACTGATTAGAAGTAAGGAAGGGGGTTGGTCATGAAAAAGGCCTCCTTACCACTGAGTTTTCTTAGAGCATGGGTTTTCTGAACCTCATGTATGTGTTTAATCACCTTCTCTTTGGGACACAGGCATTATAAATGTAGCTATAAATTACCTGCTAACTTAAAATAGTGGGAGAGTAGAGACAATTTTTAATTATCTCTGTCCAGCTGTTTAGTGTGTTGTGCTCTCAAATATTTTCTCTCAGGTACCAAGACTTGTTAAAATTTCTGCCTTTTACATTGAGATTTCCTTGTACCCAAACAGAATAAATGTTAAAGCTGGTCCAGTGTATCCACAACAGATATGTTTCTAAGTGTTCAGCCTGTTGAAATATTCTGATCAGACCTAAAATAAGCCCCCAAAGGCCGCATTGTACTGTTTTTAAGTCATTGAACCACTGATGTCCTTGTTCTGATACTTCTCACTTTGGTTTCATGATATATTAATAATCTGATTGCTCAATGACATGGAAACTGTCCATATTTTACAGATTAAGCTGTTAGGAAAACAAGGGGAAGTATATTTTCATCAGGGTGTAAAAAACCACCTTGTGGGAAGGTAGGCGACTGAGTAGTGACCAAATTAAACATTAAGCCCTTACCTGCCCATAGGCCCCACCACAGGTATCCAGCTCAGTTTGGCACAGGAAGGAGCATGTTTATATAGGCACTTTCTTCCCCATATTTAATAATTCCAACACTTAACTGATTTCCCACTTATTATAAACTACTGATAAGAGGCATACCTCAGTATTCTTTGAAAATAGCTTTTGACACAAAGGAAAATCAGGATTTTTACTTTCTCTTGTAAATCTCAGTGGTCACAAACGTTCAAGAGAAAATTTTGCCACCTATGTTGACAGTTTCTTTGTCAGAGGTACTAATATACTAATTTGCCATTCAAGAGCTTGTGGTTCTGTGAAACTAAGAACAAAGTCTAGAAATAATTCATTAGGTCAGGGTTTAAAAAACGCAGCAGTGTGTTGGTGAGAATGTTATCAGCTTCAAGTAATAGAAGTTCATACTCAAACTGGTTCTAACAGTATGGAAATAATCTTATAAAATGTGAAGTTCAGCAGAATGCAGTCTTCAGGGTAAATTGATTTACTGGGCTAAATCATGATTGTCAAAGAACTGAGCTCTTTCCCCTCTCAGCTCTGCTTGGTGTTGGCTCTTTCCCCAGGCAGATGGCAAGATAGCTACAGTGCTTTCTGGTGTCCTAACCAGATAACAGCAGTGTCCAGAAGAACTGCCTCCTTTGAGGGCTTTCTCTTAGAAGTGAGGAAGTTCCTTCCAGAAGTTCTCCTCCTAATCCCCAGCTGACTCTCCTTAATTATTGGCCAGAATTGGGCCCATGCCCATTTTGGTCACTGACAAGACCAGTGGGGTGGAATCAGTATTCCTCTGAGTCACATAGAGGAACAGTAGACAGCTGCTCACTTAGACAACCACAGTGTCCCTTATAGTCAATCAAGGGTGTGTGTGTATGTGTGTGTTTTCACCCCTTTGCCTGGTATTCTAAATTCTGTTTCCCTCTGTCTCTTGCTGCTTCACTTGTTCAATATCCTGGGATAGAAATGTTAAAGAAAGGAAACTAAGTAGGAAATCCACAGAGCACCTCTTTCCACAATCACTCAGCCTCATTAGAAGCTGGGAATTAATGGGAAAGTGTGTGTAGTCAGGGACAAGCATGTTGCTGTGATGTTACTATTATATACTTTTAATACCATCTCTGGAGGGTAACTTCCAAAGTAGAAAAAGGCAGATATTAGTTACAGATAGTGGTAGGTGAGTTTGTGGGCTTTATTTCTGCCAGGGTTCTCCTTATTTTGTTCACTATTCTATAAAGGAAAATTGTTTAGATTTTCTAAGCATTGATTACTTATTATTTTTTTACTTTTAATCTAGAACTTTTCTGGAAAAAGAAGAAAAGTTCAACCACCTCAAGTAAGTTACTACATTTTTATTTTGTTTCTGAAATAGTTTGATTGGTTTTATACCTTTCTTATTAATAAAAGTTTCTACTGTGGTTGTGGACTTGTTTGTGGATTTAAGGACTGAAAAAAAAAAGAGCAACATAAATTAATGTGTTGAATTAGAGAAATAATTTTATTTTAAGCGTGTGGAATGACTCAGATGGGCCAAATAAGTATTAAAATCTATCCAGATGTTAATTGTAGAAGAAAATATCAGTTACAAAATGCTGAAAAATAATAAATGCTCAAGTAATTTAAATCTCATCCCTTCCCTTCTGCCCCATTTTTTGATTGGGATGTTTGTTTTTTGCTGTTGAGTTGTGAGAGCTGTTTATATATTTTGAATATTAATCCCTTATCAGTCATATCATTTGCAAATATTTTCTCCCATTCAGTAGGTCTTTTCATTTAGTTGATGGTTTCCTTTCCTGTGCAAAAGCTTTTAAGTTTAATAGAGCCTTATTTATTTTTGCTTTTATTTCCTTTGTTTTAGGAGACAGATCCAAAAAATTATTGCTATGATTTATATCAGAATGTTCCACCTATGTTTTCCTCTAAAGGTTGTATGGTTTCCAGTCTTACATTTAGGTCTTTAATACATTTGGAGTTTATTTTTGTATATGGTGTTAGAGAATGTCCTAATTTCATTCTTTTACATGTATCTGTCCAATTTTCCCAGCACTACTTATCAAAGAGGCTGTCTTTTCTCCATTGTATAATCTTGCCTCCTTTGTTGTAGATTAATTGACCATAGGTGTGTGGGTTTATTTCTGGGCTTTCTATTCTGTTCCACTGATCTACGTGTCTGTTTTTTGTGCCAGTACTATACTGTTTTGATTACTGTAGCTTTGTAGTACAGTCTGAAGTCATAGAGCCTGATTTCTCCAGCTCTGTTGTTTGGCTGTTCAGTCTTTTGTGGTTTCATACAAATTTTAAGATTATTCGTTTTAGTTCTGTGAAAAATGCCATTGGTATTTTGATAGGGATTGCATTGAATCTGTAGATTGCCTTGTAATATGATCTTTTTAACAATATTAATTCTTTCAATCCATGAACACGGTATGTCTTTCCATCTGTGTTGTTTTCAGTTCCTTTCATCAGTGTCTTATAGTTTTCTTAAGTACAAGTCTTTTACCTCAGGTAGGTTTATTCCTAGGTATTTTCTTCTTTTTGATGGAATTGTTTCCTTAATTTCTTTCTAATAATTCATTGTTAATATGTAGAATTCAACAGATTTATATATATTAGTTTTGTATCCTGCAGCTTTACCAAATTCATTGATTAGCTCTAGTAGTTTTCTGGTGGCATCCATAGGATTTTCTGTGTATAGTGTCATGTCATCTGCAAACAGTGACAATTTTACTTCTTCCTTTCCACTTTGGATTCCTTTTCTTTCTTTTTTTTTTTTTTTTTTTTGCTGTGACTAGGAGTTACAATACTATGTTGAATAAAAGTGGTGAGAGTGGACATCCTTTTATCTTAGAGGAAATGCTTTCAGCTTTTCACCATTGAGTATGATGTTAGTTGCAGGCTTGTCATATATGACCTTCATTATGTTGAGGTATGTTCCCTTTATGCCCACTTTCTGGAGAGTTTTTATCATAAATAGATGTTGAATTTTGTCAGACGGTTTTTCTGCATCTATTGAGATGTTCATATGGTTTTTATTCAGTTTGTTAATGTGTATCACATTGATTGATTTGCAGATATTGACAAATCCTTGCATCTCTAGGATAAATCCCACTTGATCATGGTATATGATCCTTTTAATATATTGTTGAATTTGGTTTGCCAGTATTTTGTTCAGGATTTTTGTATCTGTGTTCATCAGTGATATTAGCCTGTAATTTTCTTTTTTTGTAGTATCTTTGTCTGGTTTTGGTATCAGGGTGATGATGGCCTTGTAGAATGAGTTCGGAAGCTCTGCAGTTATTTGGAGTAGTTTAAGAAGGATAGGTGTTAATTCTCTAAATGTTTAGTAAAATTCGCCTCTGAGGCCATCTTGTCCTGGATTTTTGTTGTTGGGGATTTTTAAAATTACTGATTCAATTTCATTACTGGTAATTGGTCTGTTGATATTGGTATTTTCTATTTCTTCTGGGTTCAGTATTGGGAAATTGTGCATTTCTAGGAATTTGTCCATTTTGGCATATAGTTTTTCATAGTAGTCTCTTATGATTCTTTGTATTTCTGTGGTGTTGGCTGTAACTTCTCCTTTTCCATTTCTGATTTTATTGATTGGGCCCTCTTTTCTCTTGATGAGTCTAGCTAAAGGTTTACCTATTTTGTTGATTTTTTTGGTTTGTTTCTGTTTTATTTATTTCTGCTCTGATCTTTATGATTTATTTCCTTCTACTAACTTTGAGTTTTGTTTCTTTTTCTAGTTGCTATAGATGTAAGGTTTAGGTTGTTTATTTGAGGTTTTTGTTGTTTCCTGAGATAACCTTCTATTGCTATAGATTTCCCTCTTAGAACTGATTTTGCTGCATTCCACAGATTTTGGAATGTTGTATTTTTGTTATCATTTGTCGGCAGGTATTTTTTTTTATTTCCTCTTTGATTTCTTCAGTGATCCATTGGTTATTTAGTAGCATATTGTTTTTTTAGTAGCCTCCATGTGTTTGTGTCTTTTGCTTGTTTGTTTTTTGTGATTTTTTTGTTTGTTTGTTTGGTTGTTGATTTCTAGTCTCATAGTGTTGTGGTTGGAAAAGATACTTGATATGATTTCAATTTTCTTAAATTTACCAAGGCTTGTTTTGTAGCTTAGCTGTGATCTATCCTGGAGACTGTTCATGTGCACTTAAAAAGAATGTGTGTTCTGCTGCTTTCAGAAGGAATGTTCTCTGTATATGAATAAGTTCTTCTGGTCCAATGTGTCATTTAAGGCCAGTGATTCCTTACTGATTTTCTGTCTGGGTGATCTGTCCGTTGATATAAGTGGGGTGTTGAAGTCCCCTACTATTATCGTGTTACTGTCAATTTCTCCCTTTATGTCTGTTAATATTTGCTTTATGTATTTAGGTGCTCCTATGTTGGGGTGCATATGTATTTACAATTGTTACATCTTTTTCTTGGATCGATCCCTTGATCATTATGTAATGTCCTTCTTTGTCTCTTGGAACAGTCTTTATTTTAAAGTCTATTTTGTATGATATAAATATTGCTACTCCAGCTTTCTTTTGATTTCCATGTGCATGGACTACCTTTTCCCATCCTTTCAATTTCAGTCTGTGTGAGTCTTTAGATATGAAGTGAGTCTCTTGTAGGCAGCATATATAGAGGTCTTGCTTTTTATCCATTTAGCCATTGTCATTTGATTGTAGCATTTAGTCCATTTGTATTTAAAGTAATTATTGATATGTACTTGTTGACATTTTGTTAATTGTTTTGGGGTTGTTTTTTGTAGGTAATTTTTGTTTGCTTTTTTTTTCTTGTGACTTGATGACTGTCTTTAGTGTTATATTTGGATTTGTCTTTCTTCTCTGTGTATATATCTATTAGATTTTTGGTTTGTGGTTACCATGAGGTTTTTATATAGCAGACTATATATATATACACCATACATATATATACATGATTGTTTTAAGTTGTTGATCTCTTATTTCAAATGCATTTTAACAACCCTGCCTTTGTCCTCTCTTTCCCTCATGATTACTGTTTTTGATGTCATATTGTTACATCTGATTTTTTTGTGTATCCCTTAATTGTTTTTTGTGGATGTTAGATGATTTTACTACTTTTGTCTTTTAACCTTCTTACTATCTTTGTGCATGGATGATTTACTACCTTTACTGTATGTTCCCCTTTATTGATGAGCCTTTTCCTTTTGTAATTTTCACATTTCTATTTGTGGCCTTTTGTTTTTGCTTCTAGACACTCCTTTAACATTTCTTGTAAAGCTTATTTGGTGCTGCTGAACTCTTAGCTTTTGCTTGTCTGTAAAGCTTTTGATCTCTCCATCAAATCTGAACAAGAGCATTGCTGCATAGAGTATTCTTGGTTGTAGGTTTTTCCCTTTTATCTCTTTAAATATATCATGCAACTCCTTTCTGATCTGCAGACTTTCTGCTGAAAAATCACTTGAAAGCCGTAAGGGAATTCCCTTGTATGTAACTTGTTGCTTTTTCCTTGCTACTTTTAACTTTAATTTTTGCCATTTTAATTACAGTGTGTTTTGGTGTGTTCCTCTTTGGGTTAATCCTGAGTGGCATTCTCTGTGCTTCCTAGACTTGGATGTCTGTTTCCTTTCCCAGATTAGGGAAGTTTTCAGCTATTATGTCTTCAAATATGTTCTCAGCCCTTTTCTCTCTTTTCTTCTAGGACCCCTATAATGCAAACATTAGTGTGCTCAGTGTTGTCCCAGAGGTCTCCTGAGCTGTCCTCATTTCTTTTCATTCATTTTTCTTTTGTTTGTTCAGCATCAATGATTTCCACTACTCTGTATTCCAGCTCACTGATCCATTCCTCTTTCATTTAGTCTACTGTTGATTCCTTCTAGTGTATTTTTCATTTCAGGTATTGTATTCTTCATCTCTGTTTCGTTGTTCTTTATATTTTCTAACTCTTTGTTAATAACTTCTAACTTCTCTCTCTGTGCATCCATTCTTCTCCTGAGCTCTTTGGTCATATTTACGATCACTACCTGAACTCTTTCTCAGGCTGTCTCCACTTCACTTAGTTCTTCTTCTCATGTTTTATCCTGTTCTTTTGTCTGGAACATGTTCCTTTGTTGTCTCATTTTGCCTGAGTTGCTGTTTTTACTTTTATGTATCTGGTGGTTGGTTATGTTTCCCAACAATGGAGAATTGGCCTTTTGTTACCTGAGCTATATGCTCTAGGGGTTCCCCCTATGAGGGCTGCATAGGTCCTTCTGTTGCGGCTGGCTATGTGGGTGGTCTAGTAGGCTTGGTTGGCCCCTAGTCTGGTTGGCTGCCAGGCCCTGCCTTGTGTGGAGGCTGCCAACCACAGGTT